ATGTTGAAGTTGTGTCCAGACCAACTCAATCGATCACCGCATGCGATAAACCACAGCAATATTCAGTCCTTAGATTTCAATCAGATCCGTTCGTAAATAGCTGGAACATGTAATGACAGACATGTAAGTCGGCCATTAGGCACCATATCTACTTGGCATTGTGTGTTAGTCTATTCTGAACACAACAATTTTATTGCACAAAAACATAATATATCTATATTTTGTAATTTGCCATAGTTGCTTATTTCATTAAAAAGATTAAATAAACACGACTTTTTTTTTGCTGCGGATTCATAATTGGTAAACGGTGTTACGAAAGAAACAAATTACTACGCACAGGCCATATTCTATAGTCAAAAGAAAGCAGGCAATATTTGGTTTTCTCGGAGTCCGACTTTTGTACATGTAGATATTAAAATATTATAGTATGAGCTAAACAGCATTGCAACATAGGTTGTCTTGAGCAAACATTGACTTAACTTGGGCCGTATTTCTTTCCATTCTCTACACTTTGATGTAAACTAATTTTCCTTTTTGTCCTCTTATGCTCCACACTTTTCTTTGTTTTCATTTCTATATGACAGAATACTCCAAGATTAAAAAAAAAACCGATCGGGCAGAATTCTGATATTACCAACGAAAATATTTCACGGTTATTTTCTCTTCTGAAACGTATTTATTTTTTGCCTCTCTGAGTTGTGCCGGCGGAAGGAAATCCATATAAGTTTCCAGGTTTTAGGGGGTGTTATTGCGCAATGTCAGTTTTAGCGATATTCTACTGTTCAAAGCCGGGATTAACGAAAACTTTCCGATCTAGCCAGTTTCTTCTTTATAGAGTGTCTAGATAAGCCAGGTTTCACTTTAAACCAATACATTTTATTCTCGTGCGCCGTCGTTTAACAAAGAGATTTAAGGCGTCAGATTTATACGTGAAGCCGTGATGATAATAATACAGTTAATGGTATAAATATGATATATTTGGGCTTCCGTAAAGACGCATTTTAGTTGAAATTTAACCTCATGTTTCACATTTTCATGTGTCTGAGGAGGAGGAGGAGGAGGAGGAGGAGGAGGAGAATCAGCTAATTATAAACTGATCATTGATCGCGAGACCTTCATAGATGTGAATTGTTAATGTGTATGTGGGAATATATAGATAGTTCATTTAATTAAATTTTTAAACGAGAAAATAATTTAAGTATGCCAAAATCCTCCTCCTCCTCCTCCTCCTCCTCCTCCTCCTCCTCCTCTAACTACAAGTTAACACGTGATTTACATATGCAAATCCGCTCATCACACATTTTTCTCTTCCACAGTATTGTCATGT